TTAATTTTGGAAAAAATAGTAAATTCTATTATCAAATTGATCTCTCCCGAGAATTTATTCTGCAACCATGCATATTAAACCAACAGAGAGAAGTTTAGGAAAAAGAAATATACTGGAGAAGAACATGGAAATTTAGATTCAAGCATTGTTAGGTATTTTGTTTTTATCCTTTTCTTTTTGCGGTTACCAATATTGTTGAACTGCTTCATTCAAAACTGTTACTAAGATGCTTGGGTATTCTTTTTCTACTTCTTAAATCTTGTGCTGTTAAAATAAAAAGGTAATCCAGTTACCAACATTTAGAGAACATCCCTGTAAATCTTTTAAGACTTAGTGAAATCCAGATGTCGCTGATTTTTTTAGGCTGGATATTGGTTATATTTTAAGGCAGGTAGTCGTGTGTTTTATTTGCTTTGGTGGATGTGCATTATGTTTGTTCAACTCTCAGTTCGACCAAACAAACATTGTAGATTAGAATACAGGATTTTAGAAGACAGTGGAATGAGTGTCCACACTGCAGACATCAGTAGCTCTCTAGAGATAATAGTTATTTCTGATTTTCTTTCTCTGCAAGTCATTAGTATTTTCACTTAGGTAATCATGATCCCAAACAATCAAGCAAAAATGTTATGCACTTGTGTTCACTACTATTGTCTTTCCTGTAATTACTGTTTTTAGAACTTTTGTCTTACTGAAGGAATTAGCAAAATATATTTAATACTTAAATGTAATAAACAAAGATCCCATTCTGGAACCAAAGCTGACTTCAGATTTTTCTTTTATACTACATTGATTTGAAGTCATGGTTAGTCCACTGAGATCAATGATACATTTTTATGTATCATGAAAAACTGAATTCAACTACCCATATATAAAATATCATATTGGATAAGTTACTTTTACTCAAAATACTTTTTCTGGGTCTCTGCTCTAATGTTGAGAAGAGTCTCCCAAATCTCTAATAAATGGAACACTTATTATTTAAATTTTAAGTGATTTGGGTCCTCCATCTTTTGGGGGACTCTAATTTTATTTTAAGGATTATTTCAAAACCTTTCCATGTGTATGCAAAGCAGTGAAATCAAAGTCGCTTGATAGTGAAATAGGTGGCATATAAATTAATAAATAACAAATGAATAAATTTCATTTAATTTACTAGGATTTTTCTAGATTTTTTTTTCTAGATTTCCAATATAAGATTTTGGTCTTAATTTTTAACTGGTAAACTTGTATAGTAATCAGTCATATTTTTATTAAAATGAATGTTCTTTACTAGCAAGCAAGAATAAGAAGAATGTCAATAAATGTAGATTAAAATGGTTGCTTGACTTGCCAGTTCAGGACATCCATGCCCATGACATACCAGTTCTTATTTACAATATGTTCCTTATAGCATTAGCATTTCCTTCTTGTCTTGTGGTCATGGTTAATTGTGGTCTGGATTCCCGACTTATTAAAAGGATGGTATTGAATTCTTTGAAGACATGAACTCGATTCTCAAGATTCTAATTTTTTAAAAGAAAAACCTATAAAAAAAGCACTTCCAGAAGTTAGAAGATTGCCTACTGTTGATTTAGAGTCTAGAATGCCTTTTCTCTTCCTCAAGTAATCTAGAGAAGGAAAACATAAAGATGTGTATGTGGGAGGGGAGAGGGGGAGAAGCTTCTAGGATAAAAAGATCAAATTTTAATCAACTTCTGGAAAGGTGAAATAATTTATGAATAAATTATTTTCCTTGAAGCCATTACATACGACCTACCACAAAACTAAAGTTTTTAAAGTTCAAACTGGACTGTGGTCACAGTTTATTGTAGTCTTGATGCCTACATTTAGCTACATTATTATACAGAATGCTATTTAATAAAGGGCAGCTTGATGGCTCAGCTCAAGACACTGGGTTTGTTGGAAATTTGTCATCCCGGGTTTAAGACCCAAGCGTTGCTTGACAGAGTGACCACCCATCTTCGCCTAGCTCCTACTCACCTAGCAGTTCAAAAGCATGCAAATCCAAGTAGATATATAGATACCACTTCAGTGGACAGAAAACAGCATTCCATGATGTCATGCTGGTCATATGACTGCAGAAACATCTTTGGACAACGCTGGCTCATGGCTTCGAAACAGAAATGAGCACCATCCCTTATAATTGGCAATGACTAGCAGAGTAAAATCCGCAGGGACATCTTTCCTTTCCTTCCTTATTTAATATTATATAAGCTTACTGTTATATAGATAAATACTGTACTTCCAGGTATAAAAATAGATAGTTTAGAAGTTCCAGTTTTTCTTTCCAGATTCTCATAAATAAGATCTTTCTTGATGCAATATTATTAAATTTTAGTCAAAATGTAGGGTATGCAGTGCCATTTTTATTCAGTTACAACATTAATTGTATTGTCTATAATTTAGTCATAGATTTCCTAATTTATGCAACTAAAATTGCATTTAAAAATTGCATTTATGAAAACATTCAAAATTTATATTTGCAGCAGAATCTTGTGTGCAATATAGTTCTTTTTGCAAATTTCATAATTTTTTAAGTTTTATAAGGAGCAGCATATTAATGTACTATATGTGTCTCTAAATTAATATATATGGCTCTGCCACATATTCTTTTAATGTTAAATCTTCCATAGAGATACTAAATATCTTTGAAGTGTAATTGTATATTTTTTATTAAATTGTTTTTTAAAAAATTAAAGCAACTTAATCTCTTATGTTAAACATTTTATAACATAAAATGCATAACTTTAAGAAAATGAAATAAAAATAGAAAATATTTCCTTGATAATGGCAATAAAATCCCTCAGCCTTTTGATTAACACTAATTCACTAACTGGATTATTGCATGGAGTCATTCCCATAAATGTCCTTATATATTTATGGTATGATTTTATGGCATAATTTTGCCTTAATTCATGTGTATTAAAGCATGAAATCATCTGCAATCATTGTTATATCCGTCCTGAAGATATTTGTTTTATTGTATATATAAAAGTATGATGCCATTGTTAACAGAATTCACAGAAGTAATGTTGGTAATTTTTCTGCAGTTTCTGCTCTATGCAATTAAAAAAAAAACTATTAAGAGTGCATTGGTCTGTAAATGGTCTTTGAAGGGGTTTTTAATCAGTATGAACACTGGCTTCACATTCTGATGATAACTTCAAACCTTTATAGGTCTAACTGTGGATGCCGATTTAACAGTACATTATAGTGCATGGTACAGTAAACTATAAACAAGGTTTTGAAATGGTATTTAGATTGGAAATGTGGTTTTTGTACTGTTCAGGCCCCATGCCTTTCCTTCTCTATTTAGTAATGCTGACGAAGAATTCTTGCATTCTTAAAAAAATAGGCAAGATTTTTAAAAATAGCAACCATTAGTTTTCTGAGCAAACAGTCACATATGCCTACTGTTGATCTTGCAATGTCAGCTAAATTGTTACCATGGATGGAGGATACTGCAAAATATCTAGAAGCTGTTTTTATATTCTGTGGTTTGTATTCTGTGATTATAGTTACAGGTTCTCTTAAGCTATAATACTGCTGTTTAAATACTGCTGCTTAAATGTGTGTGTGTGTGTGTGTGTGTGTGTGTGTGTGTGTGTGTGTGTGTATTAAGAAATTCAGAATTAAATCCAACATATATCTGAATAACAATTGCATGCATTATTCTTCACCTCTGGTTACTTAAAGGCAGAATTGTGAACAGTGATGAATGATGTTCAATTAGACATCAAATAGAGGAACATTGGTTTGCTAATTATACATCATATTACAATCAATAATATATGCCACTGGCATTTTCAGGGAACTTTCTCAGTTAACAAACAAAAAAGTCATATTAAAGAATGAAAGTATAAAAACCTAATGGATACTAATTCATGATAACTTATTTAAAATGATAGGGTAACTGTGGAAAACATATTTGGGTGCTTGTATTCTTTCTAAAAGTTCCATCTTGGTTTCTATATTTGTGAAGTTCCTCCTTGAATTTACAGATCCTGCTGAAGCAAGGGGCAAATATGGCCTTTACAAAAGTTCTTGTATTCCTATGGTACTCTTATCTGAACCAGGGGCTCTTCAGGCACATACTTTGGACATCCCATGCATAGACTATTCCAATAAGCTGTCTATGGTCTGCCCTTGAAAATTAGTCAGAAGCTGCAACTGATCCAGAAAGCAGCGGCACAGGTGATAATAATGGGCATGTAACACCTTTGTTCCATGAGCTTTATAACTTACCAGAAAGCTTCCATGTACAATTCAAGGTGCTGGTTCTTCATGACATAGAGCTGGCTGTCTAATGTTCTATATCTCTTCTGTAGCTTCTAACCACACTATAATTGGTTCTAGGCCCCTCAATTAATAACATATGATGGGATCTAGGAAGTGTACCTTCTCTGTGAATGCACCTCTGTCATAGCAGCTGTTATCCTTTGGAACAACAGCCTCCTGGAATCTCTCCGGGGTCAACTTCATCAGTGTTTAAAAGAGCCCTGAAAAGTTGGCTCTTCCTCTATCCTTGAGTTATAGAGAGTTGTGGATCCTGTGCAGTGGACTGTTTTGTGTTCTCCCCTACTCCTCCTTGTACTTTTCTTTTAGTAATGATTTTTTTTAATTGTATGCCCATTTGGGATTGAATGGCCTTATAATAGTAATAATAATGTCCACTGGTGGTACTGTATGAAATATTCTTTAGCACAGGAGGATACATTTACTATGAGATAAGATACAATCTTAACTATTGCCCTTTATGCAAAGCCAAAAATTCTTGTGGCACACCTTAAAGAAGAAGGTTGAAAAAGATATTTAAAAATGTTCAACCAATATGACCGAAAGCTAAAACAGTTCCTCTGCTAGAAAAGACTACCTGTCTTTGGAACAAAAGCATAAAAATCAGATAAGATGGGAGCATATATACATGTGTCATATGGGAAATGTGGATAATTTTTTTAAAAGCCACTTTCATGCCATTAGAAACAATAGATTCTAACCTGATTTGTAGTGTTTAACATATCCATGCAGCTCCTGTATTTAAAAGGCATACAGCAACATTTTGATTTCTAAGTTTGGATGCTTTCAGCTGCCACAGCCTCTCTACTTTTTCTCCCAGTTTTTCAAGAACACGAGATACTGTTTCTTCCCTTCATCTTCAAAGATATGAAAAGGGAAAAATGTTTTATGTCAATTATTTGTACTGTTGTTCCAAATATATATATATTTTCATCTGATCTTACTAAAAATATTCTAAAATGTTTTTATATTGTATTTTACAGCTGAGGAATAGTTATCTGCAAACAAACATGAAACATTTGCATTATGTTGATCATATTCAATGTGCTTAATTTTTCTATTTATTCGTCTCTTCCATCTCCATTGTTTCAGATGATATCATTTTTTCAAACATAGTTTTCTCCCACATAAAAATTCTATATACAGAGAATAACCTGTTATGCTTCACTTTGATTTTTAATATATATTTTAAAAACCTTTGGAATTTATCTTTGACCCACAGGGTCTGAATTAAGTATCTTTGCATATTTTTAGAGATGTTCACAGAAGTGTATTTTTCTATTGTTTAAATTGACAATAGTTAAATCAAGTGCATTCCATCAGCCATCACTGTTTGTTTTTTAAAGTATTAGTTATCATTGCTTTGCACAAATATGTGTGTGTTTGCCTTTGATGTCTGATATAAATGAAACTGGAAAGCTATACTTTGTCCTCAGGCTAAAGCAGCTGCATACACAACTTTCTTTAAAAAGCCTTTATATAAATTGACCTTTCCTACTTTTTCTTGAATGCAGTAGTATTTTGCTTTCAAAAATATCTGCTGGGGATTTTGAGATAAATCAGAAATCCTTTTCCTAAAGTCAGCTTTGAAAAAACTGTCACAAGCAAATGCTAAACAGGCCACAAATACTGATTGGCTGAACATGCCTATTTCTTTATTAAACTGGTCCTGATTCTGTCACTGGATCTGCAATTGCCCACCCCTCATTAACAGCATCTAACTTTTGTGGCATTTTATTTCTTTGCTTTATCACCTTTTCAGTGAAATAAGTCTGCTTAGAGTATCTTGTTGATTTCACCCCAGTTTTAAACATATTTTATGAGTCCAAACAACCACTTTATCATCCTCCACTGAACATATTCAGGAAAAGAAGGACAGGGATAGAGTGAGTGCTTTGTACTGCGATCCAAGTTAAAATTCCCAGCATCTTCTAGTAGCAGAGCTGTGTGAACCATTTAATGAAGCAGTCTGGGAAGTGAATAAATTGCCATCTGAAACTCACTAATTGAAGTTTGAAAATGCCACATCTTTCTGCTTTAAAAGGATATGTCCCAGCCCAGTGGCTGAATACGCCTATGTATTCCAGAAGTCTTTTCTACCAAGATTTTTTGTGATAATCCAGACAGTGCTGATAATGAATAGAATAGAATAGAATTCTTTATTGGCCAAGTGTGGTTGGACACACAAGGAATTTGTCTTGGTGCAAATACTCTCAGTGTACATAAAAAAAAAAAGATACATTCGTCAAGAATCATAAGGTACAACACTTAATGATACCGTGTTTCTCCAACAATATACCCCCTCTAATAGGAAGACCCAGTATGTTTTCTAGGCATAAAATGAAATTAAGCCCCTCCTCCCAAATTTAGGCCTAGTTTAAAACATGCAAAATTGGGGGGAGAAGGTGGTGGGGAACTTGCCATTAGGAGTGCCTCGCGGGCAGCTATGCCTCACCATCAGCCGCTCCTAACACCATGGTGGAGCACGGAGGGCTCCCTTACCCCTCCCTTACCTGGGTCAGCAGGCGGGCGGTGTCGGCGTGGATGTCCGGCAGCATTTCAGCCGCTTCTCAGGCCTCCGTAGCTTCCACAGTTTCCACCGGTGCTAGCGCCTCTCTCGCCAGTGCCGTCTCCAACAACAGTATCTGAGTCGCTCCCGCTTTCCCCCCATCCCCGTAACAACAGGAAAAAAAAACATTTTGAGGTACCTGGGAGCGCCGCGTGCTGCGTTTTGGTTTAATCCCGAGCGGCTGGGTGGGCGTGAGAAGAGCCGAGTGAGCATCTCTGCTGCTGCTACCCTTGGTGCTCCAGCCTCGGGCTCTGCAAGTTTGCAAAAGTCCCAGTGCGCAGCCCGTTCCTGCCCAGGCCGAGCTGCAGCTGTCCCTCTCTCACCAGTGCCATCTCCAAGAACAGCAGCAGCAGTGGCGGGAACCGTGGAAGCATTTCAGCCGCTTCTCGGGTGGGGGAGCCACCTCCGTAACTTCCATGGTTCCCCCCGCTGCTGCCGCTGTTCACACGCCCACCCAGCTGCTCGGGATTAAACCAAAACGCAGCGTCCGGTGCTCCCAGGTACCTCAAAATCTTTTTTTTCCCTTTTGTTACGAGGATGGGGGAAAAGCGGGAGCGACTCAGACTCTGTTGTTGGAGACGGCGCTGGTGTGGGGGGGGGGGGGGGAAAAAATTAATCCCCCCAAAAAAACGCCGCCGAGCTATTTTTTTGTTTAAAAAAAAAAAAAAAAAAAGGCCCAGCCTTATTTTGTGAGAAACACGGTAGTCATAGGGTACAATAAACAATCAAATCATACCAGGAAATGGTCAATATAAATCGTAAGGATACAAGTGACAAAGTTACAGTCATACAGTCACAAGTGAAAGGGGATGGGTGATGAGGAGTGATGAGAAGATTAACAATAATAGTAGTGCAGACTTTGTAATAGTTGATCAGTGTTGAGGGAATTATTTGTTTAGCAGAGTGATGGCTTTCGGGGAAAAACTGTTCTTGTGTCTAGTTGTTCTGGTGTGCAGTGCTCTATAGCTTTGTTTTGAGCGAAGGAATTGAAACAGTTTATGTCCAGGATGTGAGGGGTCTGTAACTATTTTCACAGTCCTCTTTTTGAGTCATGCAGTATACAGGTCCTCGATTGAAGGCAGGTTGTGATTACAGGGGAGCCAAATTCTGATTTAGGATAGGGCAAGTTCTTAAATATTTGGAAATCCTCATACAGCGTAGTTTTCAATTTCACAATTTTAATTCTTAAAAATTGAATGAAGAGACATGTTTATTTTTTAAAATCACCATTGCAGCATTCACCAGTATACTGAAGCAAATGTGTGTAAATTCTTAAATTTTTCCACTAAATATTGAATAGTTTTTCTCTGCTCAAAATGTTCAAAGTAAATTTTATTTTATTTATTTATTAGATTTTTATCCTGCCTTTATTACTTTATAAGTAAGTTGAGGCAGCAAACATAACAATGCCCCTTCCTCCTTTTGTTTTTCCCACAACAACAGCCCTGTGAGGTGGATTGGGTTGAGAGAGTGACTAGCCCAAAGTAAAGCAGCTGGTTTTCATGCCTAAGGAAGAATTAGAACTCACAGTCTCCTGATTTCTAGGTCAGCTCCTTAACCACTACATTTAAAATTAAAATGATGCTGTGAAATTGAAGAGAAGTTCAAGTATCCCTTAATAGCAACTCTCTTAACATCATTTGCACCTTTTACTTTTCAAGTACCTCTGGTCAAGAACACTTCTGACCAAAAAATTCACAATTTTTTTTGGGGGGGGGCGGCCAATTTCCTCTTCTGCACCATTTTTTTTGTAAGCACCAAATTTCCAAAATTAGGTTTGGGTCACAACCTAATCGGGTTGCGACCAAAGTTATGGAACGAATTATGGTTGTAACCAGAAGTTCTACTGTATTCCGTTATCAGTGCTCCTAGAAAAGGCCTAAACCCTTGTGGATATCATTCAGAATTGAATCTTTGTTGTAGCTACAATGCATGTTTCCTTTCTGAGTTTTCTTGCTGGCCAAGATTGAATTTTTTTCTCATTTTTGATCTGTTTGCAAGGTGGTTTCTTGTAGACTCCAAATTATATGTGTTTTAAGAGAGTAATCAATGTGTTTCTATAAAAAGTTGCGTGGATGGGTATATGAGTGAAGGGAAATGAACCCGAAGAAGGAACCATACTTGAATAGACACACAGATAATTAATTAAGTTTTCTATTTTTTTCTATATCTGTTTGAATTAGGGTTAGATTGGATTAGATTAGATTTATATCTCTCCTTCATTTTGTACATTTCGAGACAGTGCACCTAATGCTCCCTTCCAATTTCCCCCCACAATAACAATCCTGGGAGTTGAGATGGGCTGAGAGAGAATGGCTCAAAATCACCCAGCTGGCTTTCATACTTAATGGAAAACTAGAATTCACAGTCTCTGAATATCTTTATGCAGTACTTATGTAGGACGGGTTGTCTCCCTAAATTAGTGGTTTGTGATTCTGCAATATAGGTAGGAGATTCAATAAGATGAAAAATCTTTAGTTTGAAATCTGTAAATGGGAATGTCCTTTTTCATAGATATCAAGAATCCAGCTATTCCATAGTTGGAACAGAACACAAATTAATTAATAACTAGCAGTCAGCATGGGTTTGTTAAAAACAGATCATGCCAAACCAATCTTATTTCATTCTTCAACACAGTAACTAAATTAGTAGACCAGCAAAATACTGTGGACATAATATATTTAGATTTCAGCAAGGCATTCGATAAAGTAGACCACAACCTACCTGTTAGTAAGCTAGAAAAAAGTGGAATAGATAGCACCACCACTAGATGGATTTGCAACTGGCTGGCAAACCGTACTCAACGAGTAGTCCTTAATGGGTCTAAGTCTACATGGAGGGAAGTAAGCAGTGGGGTGCCACAAGGTTCCGTCTTAGCCCCAGTACTCTTCAATATCTTCATTAACGACTTAGATGAGGGAATAGAAGGGAAACTTTCCAAATTTGCAGATGAAACTAAGCTGGCAGGAATAGCTAACACCCAAGAAGATAGGCTCAAGATCCAGATGGATCTTGACAGACTAGAACACTGGGCCATATCTAATAAAATGAAATTCAATGTAGAGAAAAGTAAAGTCCTACACTTAGGCAAGAAAAAGCAAAAGTACACATATAGACTGGATGAAACCAGGCTCAATAGCAGTAACTGTGAGAGGGATCTTGGAGTCTTAGTGGACAACCAGCTAAATATGAGCCAGCAGTGTGCAGCAGCCGCCAAAAAAGCTAATGCAATCCTAAATTGTATTAACAGAGGGATACAGTCAAGATCAAGGGAAGAACTAATACCACTCTATAAAGCCTTAGTAAGACCAAACCTAGAGTACTGCGTCCAGTTTTGGTCACCACATTATAAAAAAGATGTTGAGGCTCTAGAAAAAGTACTGAGAAGAGCAACCAGAATGATTAGGGGACTGGAGGCTAAAACATACAATGAATGGTTGCAGGAACTGGGCTTGGCTCGTTAGTAAAGAGAAGGACCAGGGGAGACATGATAGCGGTCTTCCAATATTTGAGGGGCTGCCACAGGGAGGAAGGGGTCAAGCTATTTTCTAAAGCTCCTGTAGGCCAGACAAGGCATAATGGATGGAAACTGAACCAGGAGAGATTTAACCTGGAAATAAAGAGAAACTTTCTGGCAGTGAGAACAATCAACCAATGGAACAGCTTGCCCTCGGAAGTTGTGGGAGCGCCATCAGTTGAGATTTTCAAGAAGAGATTAGACTGCCATTTGTCCGAAATGGTGTAGGGTCTCCCGCTTGGGCGGGGGGTTGGACTAGATGACCTACAAGGTACCTTCCAACTCTGATTATCTGTTATCTGTATCTGTAATTAAAATTTATTTTGGCAAGGCTTGGATTGAGGCAAGAAGGAAGGAATTTGTGAATAATTTCTAAAAGACTATTTTTTGTACTGCACTAAACAGTCTTATGTCTCATTGGTATGTTTTACTATAGTATAGCAGCTGCATGAATGTTTAATAAAGGAACTTGCAGATTTCTAGCAGAGCAGAAATGTTAATGTTGAATGAAGAGAAAGAAACTAAAACAATTTAGCAACTGCTGTTATGTCACAGGCTCTTGTTTCATGGCATCTATTACCAATATAATTAGATTGCATTATACCCACTAGCCTTATAAAATGCACTCAGAGAGCAATAAACTTCACAACTCAAGGTGACACTGTATAATTTGTATGAGGACTAGAAAATGAAGCTACTATCCTGTTGAATCCCATATGTGTTGTTTTTTTCCTTCTGCTCTTGTACAAATGTGAATTACAATATGCACATTCCAGAGCATATTCAAAAACCTGGAGATGCAGATTCCCAATGTTTCCAAGTGTAGTCTGTTCACCCCTATATACTTAAATACATATAAATATGTATGCATGTTTCAGTGAAGAACCTCTTTACAAAGGTTACACAGATTAGCAGATTTACAATAAATTGATGTATTTGGAAAATAACTTTATTCACAGGGGTGACAATGTAATTTTCTGAAGTAATGGAAAATGTATTTATTTTGTTTGTTTGCTTGTTTATCACATTTCTAACACAAAAGTCCAGAAGATAGATTTATTGAATAAAAACTATGCACACATGCAGAGAACCTGTTTACATTAAAAAATAATAATGTAGTTTATATATCATGTGTCTGGATGATGTTCAAGAAAACACAAGTGATATCTAATGCATAATCTCTGGTGTTACAGAAATTGTGTATATATTGATGAATGATAAATATTTTTTCACAATGGCATCAAATTGGTGTTGACTGATAGTGACTACATAGATTCTTTGCAGGATGATATGTCTCCAGTCTTCCAACAGTACATCCCTCACATATAAGCAAGTTTATCCACTCTGCTGCTGATTATCCTCTTCCTTTTTTTGCCTTCTACCTTTCCTAATGTTATAGACTTCTCCAGAGAGCTAAGTCTTCACATAATGTGTCCAAAATGATTGGAGGATTATTTGAGCTTTGCTATTTGTGCATCTAGTGAGAATTTGGAGTTTATTTGTTCAATGATCCTTTTGTTTTCTTGACTAATCATGGTATTCCCAAGAATCTTCTCCAACTCTAAAGTTCAAAAACATTGTCTTTCTATCTTGTTTCTTAAGAGTCCAGTTTAAGTGTTGTGTGGGAAAAATATTGTTTGAAGATTTGGATCCTTGATTCCTACCCTACCAAGTGCTAGTATGCACTGTATTTCTTTAGTGATGGTTCTTTAATGGCTGATAGTCAATCCTAAAAAACAGAAACTATCGCCTATTTTAATAGCTTCATTGCTACTTCTAAGGCTGTCAGCTGTATCTGTTGTCATTAGTTCAGTTATTACTATTTTTAATGTTAGTCTCATTTTTCACTGTTCTCCTTGAGTTTCATTACTAGAGCTTTGCAGTTTCAACTATCTATGCAGTTTCAGTGTTATAGACATGGGACAGGTTATTAATGTTTACACCTCCAGTTTTAAAACCATGCTCATCTTCTATTCTAACTTCCATATTTATATGCGCATCGTATTAAGGAGAGAAGATGCATTTTGTCCTACTCCTTTATTCAACTGTAGCCAGTTTGTTTTGTTGTGTATTGGACTGTGGTTTTCATATCTTGTGCATAGGTTTTTCATAACAATAATGAGATGTTCTGGGATTAAGGACATAATGGCGTACTGAAGACAACCAAAGAACATTTTTAAAAGCTCTTTTAAAAAAAATTGACTTGTTTTTAATATTAGACTTACGTATTTCATTGTGCAGTATTATTTTTATTCTACCTGATCTCATTTCACGTTATGGATATACTGCAAATTACACTAGTATACAGAGCCAGGAAAATCTTTGAGAGTAATAACTAATATAAGTCTATTTTCAAAACTACAAGACTATAATTTTGATTTTATATGTACTTTCAGGCTGATTGTGGTATGTATCTTCTGCTCAGAGTCATGTATGTGAGATGGCAGCTATATAAATTTACAAAACAACAAGTTCTGATAGAAGGAAAGATGAAGCATGATTTTCTTCTTGGTCTAATTATTGTCAGGATTCCAGCAGTTACCCCAATTAAATCATGAGTTTCGAGCCAAACTTTCTTCAAAGGGATTTATTGGGAGTTAACATGTCCAGCACTGCCTGGGTGTAGCCTACTGAGACACATAATTCATTGTCACCCTTGACCCTGGTTTCCCCCCCACCAGTGGGTGTATCATAATTCATATTCTCCAATGAGACATATCCATATCCAAGAGTCATCAATCATGTTCTCCAGTTAGACATTTGCACAGCAGAAACTTCATTCATCTAGTTACTATCTTTGAAAAACTATTTATGGACTGCACTTTCGATTTCCAAGCTGCCGCACTGTTCTTTCAAACCCCTTTCCCCCCTCCCTTTCTGTTGGCAACTCTAAAAAGACCATAGAAATATTTTATGAGTTGACAATTATGTTTTCCTGGACTAGAAACAAAGTTCTTTGAATAGTGTGTGTGTGTGTGTGTGTGTGTGTGTGTGTGTGTGTGTGTGTGTAAAGCATCATCTATAATCTGTGAGATCTTTTTGGGTTGTTTTTTTTTAATCATACTGGATGTTAAAAGTATTATTTGGTTATGTTGCATGTGGCAGGTGAGAACAACATTTTAAAGCATATTCAGTACCACACAGTTACAGTCACTGTTACTGGATAGAAATACAAAAATAAAGAAAATGAGAAATGGGGGAACAAATGGAAGAATATGGAAACCTGGAATAAGGAAAAAGATAGCCAGTAGCCCAAATTTCTCATGTGCTGATCTCATGAATATAGTAGTAACCATGATTGAAAGCTCTGAATAAAGACCTGTCAGGAATTTCAAACCCTGATCTATGAGGTTGATAAGAAAGGCAAAAGAAATGTGAAGCAAAAAGCAAAGCATTCTAATATTCTTTCATGAGAGTTCAATTTGTTTACATGATGATGATATGCTGGTCTATGACCGTAATAAAGATTTGATCCATAATAATAAATCAAACAGAATGAGATGCTTGCAAAAATGCCAAGTTATTTCATTCATATATCAACTTCCTTCAACTTGCTGCCCTCCAAATGTCACATCTTCAGTTGCATATAAAGGGTGCAGTCATTTGGAGAAGATAATGAAGCATGCAAACACTTACCTACAAGAAGAATGATTTTGACCTGCAGAACTGAACAGCAGAATACATTTAATTGTATTCTCACATTTTTTTCACTTTGTTTAGATTCTCTCCTACTCCATTTATTTTATTTAATTATTTTCTTTACATAAGGCCCAATAATAGGCCATAAATAGCTTTTTACTTGAGTTCTTTACAGTCAATCAAAGCATATTATAAACAAGCAAAATTATATAGAAGCAATATTAAAAGCAATATTCAAATTTAACCCCAGACCTCAAACAAAATAAAAATCAAGCTGGAATGGTAATAGCAATCAGTATAGTATATAAAAATATACATTATAGTAAGCACAAAGTACCCACAAAAACAAAATAGCTATTCAACTTTAAAATACCACAGTGATTATTAAAATATCTTGGAAATTAAAAAAGGATTCACCTGACACCAGAAAATTGGCAACGTGGGCAGCATGTGAACTCCTCTGAATCATTCCCAGAATAAGTGAGATGCTACCAACATCATCATCAACAACAAATTTTTTAACAGATGCTGTGAGTTCACAGTAAATACTTCCATAGGGGGTCATTTGGGAAAGTTTCTTCCTGACATACTTGATTAGCGAAATCTGCCTTAAAGAACGCAAAGACACTTAACTGGCTAATGATCTGACTGAAGGAAAATTACAGTTGAAATGGAAGAACCAGAATTTCTGTCAGTAGAATGTCCAGCAGAGCTCTATTCTGTATAGCTCTTAGCAAAAAGATTTTCATCAGTCTACCTGTTCGTGTCTTCGAAATCATTCAGCTGTCTGTCAGCTTATCCTGATGCCATGTCCATACATCTTTTTCTTAGAATGCCAGCGTTGTAAATATTTTTATTCCTGAAATAATCACAGAGGTAACAAATAAAAACCTTTATACCTGGAATACCAGCTTTAGTTACATTTCCATTTTGTCTTTTATTTGAAATGGAACCATATTCTATATAAGACAGGAAGATCATCCTTGATATATTATGTTAGTAAGCAAATGGCATTTCTTTGTATGGTCATCAGTCATCAAAAAAGACTGTCTAGTCCCTACTGTGTAACAACAAAGTAAACTGATTTCTTGAACTTTAAAGGTCAATGTTTTCTGTTCATTTTCTCCATCTTTTTTCAGATGGATAAAATATTCATTTTCTCTACCTTCCATATCCCTTTTGCTCATACTAAGAAGTAGGATAGGGTTATGCATCCATGATATCTGTATATCTTGGGTAAAAATGTTATAACCTTATAAGGCTCAGTGTCTGATGTCTAGATAGGCTAATAACCCTGGCTATATATCTACTGTCTGAAATGTGTTATAAGGGTTTATTTGTTTACTTGAGGGTTTTCCCCATTTGTCACATTTACCTTTAATGGATTCCATTTGGTCATATCTATGTGCTCAAAAGAAAACTACTGTATCACCAAATATATGTCTATTATAATAAATTTAACTTGAAATTTGCACATCTATAGAGATTCTCAGTCATCCAGATCATGGTTGTCCCAAAGGTGCTTTTTTCAAGAGGCAACTGGACTTTCCTATTTTTCTTTAAAGATGTTTTGCTTCTCATCCAGAAAGCTTCTTCAGCTTTAAATTTGTACAAGAGAGATAATTGTTCCACATATTCTTTTACCTAGTATATATTACATAAAACCTTTATTTCTCCCCTTTTATCAGCAATTGGTGGTCAGTTAGATATTTTATATGTTGATTTCTTACTTGCTGATAAGATTTTTCAAACAACATATCACCTTGCAAATTTCTGTTATTTAGCATCAAGATTCTAAGGGTGATCCATAATGGACTGAGGGATTGATATATTTGGCTTGTTTGTGATATTTTTACTTTTTGTTTCTTTTTTCTTTTCTTTTGTTTCATTTGCTGCCTAAGGGCCATAATAAAATGAACTCATACAAGATCAGATTGATTATAAGAAGTATGTTCTTAAAGGTTGTTTTTAAGAAATCCATTTCACTTTATGTTTATTCTCAGTTGCTAGGAAAACTCAAGATACTTCAAATAATTCTGTTCCTAATAGGCCAGTTTCCAAGAACTGGTGTGATCATAAAACATTGTACCGAATTGGCACACTTAAACTGGATTCTTTGCATTGTCATGGTGGTACAAAGTACAAATGCTGATGTTTCTATGTTGTCGCATAAAAATACCTATTCTTTATATATTTTTCTTCCTATATTCGGGTATGTGTGATGGAATTAGTGCTAATTATATCAACTTCTTAATTCAGTTGGGAGTTATGTCTTTCAACTAACAGCTGATAGCAAAAGCCTGTGTACTTACTCCAATTCTCTGTGATGGGTAGAGAGAGAAGTGCTATATGAGAGAATAAATAATAAAAGAAGATGGCAAAAGGAAGACAGGATTGCCTTGAGTCAAATGAAAGCTAGACTGTGATTTCTAATTCATTCATTTTTCACCTTTGCAGATAAGTTAAGGTGGTGAACACACCTTTCTCTTTATTTTTGCCATACCAACCTACCTATGAGGTGAATTGGGCTGAGTGAGAGTGACTGGCCCAAGGTCACCCAGCTGGCTTTCCTGGCCAAGGCAGGACTTAAACTCACCATCTTTTGCTCTGTAGTCTGATGCCTTAACCACTAGACCAAACTGGCTGCTGTTAAGTAGCTTTTTCATTCTGAAACTGGAATAATGACTTTCAAAATGTTCTAAGCTGTGCATTTGTGGACAGCTTTCAGTCTGTTATACATTTTTGGCAAGTGTAAATCTTGCCTTAATTAATACAAGCATGTGTATTCCGTCTTTCTTGACCTTCTCAAACAGATGAGAGAATTGGAGTAATATCTGAATTGGATCTGTAAAGTTGCATCACAAATGTGCAAACTGTGTTTTCTTCCTTTTTTTTGTCCTAACTTAATTTGTTCAGCAGTATCCAGTTACAAAGAACTAACAAACAGAAACAAACAGGACATTCCAAATATGTGTGTTTTATGTTCAGCCCACGTACTCCTGAGGAAAGATTTGCATCTGTTTGTGGCCTCCCAAGTGAATTTCAGGCAGAAAATATGCACACACATACACTTATGGACACACCGACACACCATTCCTATTCTCATAATCAGTGTGCCTAATCCCTTGCCTTTTATGACAGAGTCTTGCCTCACATAAATTGTTCCTTTTTTACAAAGTTAACTATTGCTTTCCCATTTCACTTTGTGCACATAACTGAGTTCTTTTTAATCCTCTTTCCCAATTAAATACCCTTTTACTTTTATAGTAATCTTTTCCTGGAAGTCAGAAAAAAGAAAATTGTTGAAGACCTGGATGACTAATAAAAGGAAACATGTTTTCATACTGTTATATGTCTTTAGTTAAGCGGTCGCCCACCGGTGGGCCGTGGCCCACTGGTAGGCCATGAGAAAATTTTGGTGGGTCGCAGAGAAATCTCACCCCCAGAGCACCCCCCCCAAGCAATTAGTCCAGGCTGCGCAGAAACACAAGGCTGTGCCGCCCACATAGCCCGCAGGAACCCTGCCCGCCCACTCACTCCTTACCCTGTAAACTTGCCTGCTAAATTTCTATTTTTCCTTTTTCTGACCATCATCTGTTCTGCTGTGCCAGGAGATTTAGATTAGCTAGGAAGCAGGAAATGGTTGGATTTCTTGCTTTCTAGCTAGTCTTTAGATCTTCGGCTGTGCTTTTAAGTACAGCCAAACTTCCCTTAGGACTGAAGGTTTGCTTGCAAGCAAATTCAGTGCAGACTCACGGCAAGCAAATTTGAGAAACTGAGCTAGCCAATGGCAGATAGATAGATCACTGAATGATTCTGTGAGCAACTCAATTTGCCTGATTTTGGGTAAAAGTTGCTCTTTTTTTATAAAAAGAATCAATATTTATATAAATATTTATAATATTTACATACAAGCCATGTCCAGTCAGTCACATGACTACCAAGCCACACCCACAAATTAGGCCACACCCACAGAACCCAGTTAGTGGTCCCTGGGATCTAAAATTGTGAGTTTGGTGGTCCCTGAGGTCCAAAAGGTTGGCGACTCCTGCTCTAGATGACAAATCAATTGTATTTTTTAAATTATTTTTAGCAGTTGTTCCTTTATAAAAAAAAATTAGTAACTGGTGCTACATGTTACACCTAGTATTCTGTGTAGTTGTATTGAATCTTTAATAATGAACAAGTGTATTATTAGTCAAAATTTGTATTCTATCATGTAAATGAAAATACAATATGTACTCCTACAATGTTAACGAAACAATGGCATAACGACAGTAAACATACATAATAAAAGATACTATATTTAACAATACCAAAATTATATCTGGCGTCTAGAAAAGTTATATTTTCAACTGCTTCTGGAAACTAGATAACGTTGGAGTAAATAGAATCTTCCAAAGGAGACCATTCTGTAGAGCTGGCCCCATTATGAAGATGCAATACCTCTAAGTTTCAGCCCTCCGGCTTCCCCAAACTAGGAGGCAACGTGATCATGCCAACTCCATTGGAGAAATGCTGTCTTGCAAGTAAACTGACACCAAGCCATAAGGGCTTTACAGATTAAAGCCAGCACCTTAAACTGCACTCAGAACCTAATGAGAAGCCAGCGCAGAGCCCACAAAATAGGTGTAACATACATTCGCTGGCAAGCATCCATGCCAATGAATTTCTAGTAGGAACCCTGAATCCAGGAAAACCCCAAAGATATAGCTCTCCTCTTTCAGGGGCAGTCCAACCCTGTCCAGAAATAATGCAAGAGGCATAAAGCAATTCTGATGTACAAACAGTAGCTACTTACTAAGATTCAGAGTAAGTCTGTTCCCTCTCATCCAGACCATAACAGCTTCCAGGAATCAGAAGACAGAATCTCTAGTGTTGTCTAGGATTGCAGCATGTTTTTGGGCATCAGTGCTGATTTCTTCTCTCTGATCACTGCTGACTAGAACTAGCCAATGTGGAAAGAACAGAACCACTACAAAAAAAACACGTGCCTCCAGTTCCCAGCTTCTGCAGCCAGTGCAGAACAATACCATAGTCAAAGGTATCAGAGGCCACTAAGACATCGAAAAGGACCAGGGCAGGTATACGATCCTCATCCTGATCAGCACATTCAAGTCTTGATATAGGTCAGTGATGGATAACTTTTCCGTCCTCACATGCCAAAAGTATGCACGCGCACACTTGCCAGCACCCATAAGGCAATGTGCATGGGCCCCCCCATGCCCCCTGCACATGCACGTGCAACCCCCCCACACCGTGCACTTCTACGCATGTGCGTGCGACCCATGTGCGCCACCTGCTTTTGCGCATCTGTGTGCAACACCCCCATGCGCACCATGCATTTCTGTGCATGCGCGCGCATCTCCTGCGTGTCCCCCGCCCCCCCACATGCGCGACAGTTCCCCAACGATCAGCTGGTGGGTGGACGGCGTGCACGCCTGCGCATTGGACCTGCTCTGGGGTGACGGCTCTCATGCTGGCGGAGATGGCTCTGCGTACCACTTCCAGCACGTGTGCCATAGGTTCACCATCAAGGATATAGGTCATCATCAGGTCATTAAAAAAGATTTCCCTTATAGTCTTTTATGTCTTGAGTTCAACTGGTAACAGTCTAATATTACTTTGACTTAATCAGTTAACTATACCACTGTCTTTATACTTAAATCAAGAAGTTCTGCTATATTAAGGTGAGCGTACGTTAGCCAATACTTAATTTTAGCTGTGGAGCCATGACTTTTATCTTTTTTTAAAATAAGAAATTCTAAGTCTATAGAAAGGACTTTTACTCAATTTAAGGCCATGACATTGTATCTCTCATTGTCCTCACTCAATCCTTTTACTCAGTTTACATTAGTG